TGTGTGTGTGTGTGTGTGTGTGTGTGTGTGTGTGTGTGTGTGTGTGTGTGTGTGTGTGTGTGTGTGTGTGTCTGTCTGTCTGTCTCCTGCTTTTATCTCGAATGTACAATTAGGACATTCAAAGAAAGATGTCTGTTTTCTCATATGTAGGGTTTGTGTATTCTTTTGGGGTTTGTTTTTTTCTTCAAATTAATGTACATTTGAGGTGAGTTTCCCAAGAAGATGAATAAAAGTGTTTGTCCCGTATGAATCAGTATAAAAAAACCAAACAAACCAAACAAAAAAACTGTAGAAAAATTCCATGCCAATACCAATACATCACTTGATAAAACAGATAGAAGAAGAAAACAGAATAAATGCCAAACAAGATCCAATAATGTGCCTTTATTGGAACATGTTGCCATCGTTGGACATTGTAAGATTAAGCTCAATGGGGATTTCAGGTCAGTGAGTGACTTCTTTACCATTTACCTTTTTTCTTTTTCTTTCTTTTCTTTTTTTTTTTACAATTTGTCTCCTCTGGTTTGAAAAGCCTTGTAATCAGCTAATGTCTAAAGCACACGTGCAACCACAGAATTGTATCACATATAATCTCCTGCCCAACACCTCAAATTCTAAATGTTATTTACAGTTTTCACAGCTCACACACAGAAATCTTACACACCCTTCCTTCCTGCCTGGTCTTTCTTCCTTTTTTAAAAACTCTTTCTATCTCTCGCTCTCTTTCATATTGCAGATCTTGTAGCTTCCACTTTTATTTCCTGTAATACCTTTCGCTTCCCTTACAGCTTGTCTGCTCCCATTTTGTTTCCTTTCCTTTCTTTTTCCTACCTTTCCTCTGTCAGCACCTTTTCCATTATGTCCTTTTTCTTATCATTTCCCCGTCCTTCTACTTTTTGCCCTTTTACAGTTGATTTCATGCTTTCTTTGATCACCTAACCATTACAAATTAAAAGACTCAATCACAATTTTCAGCTTATAGATACAAAACCTCCAAATCCAGATTTTTCAAGTAACAGCCCCACCCGTGAGTGGATATTGATCCAAGCAAAGGATTTATAAATAGCAATCATTGTTGTCTGTCTTTGCTCTTTATTTAGAACCATTTCAATTATTGATCAAGGTCTTGATCCACAAAGTCTATGTCCTGCTGCTCTGGTAAACAGCCTTTGTTGGGAGTTTGGCATCAGTCAAAGTGCTGACAGCTGCTGTACAAATTGTTAGTGTCTCGTGATTTCTTTTCTGCACAAACACACACAAGCCCCACTGCTGTCAACAGGATACAACTGTATGTGTGTGCTTTGCTGTAGCCTGCTAATGGTCTGTGTTTGAATCATTGATGAGTTCATCGATTTGTTTTTCTTTTTTCAGTGAATATTGACTTTCACAGCTGAAGCATAAAGAACTGACATCCTGTAATTACACACTGAAACAGTGAAAAGCAAAACGGAAGATGAACACATCAAACCTTCTAATCACACTATGGGAAATGCACTTTGTTATATATGTGTATTTATTTTATGGCACACGGTCGTCCAATTATAAATATGGGATATGATTGCATGTGGGTCTTCCTTTATTACATGATAGACAGACGGTTTAAAATATCTGTGTGTGTGTGTGTGTGTGTGTGTGTGTGTGTGTGTGTG